TCAATGTTTAACTGCAAACAATAAAAAATCTCATAAGAAAATTAAAATGACCACACACATACTCTAACATCAGAGAAGACTTACTTAAAAGAGTGAAAACCCAGAAACTGGTAAGCTGGTTATAGGGCTCAGTAAAAAGGCACAGGCTCATGTAAAAAGTTTTAAATGCAGCATTATAATAGGTACTATTATCTGTGCTTATAAAGATCTGGAAAAAAATTTGCAATGCAGAAGACAGACCAAAGGTTAAGTACCATAATATTCAGAGTTCTTACAAATTGCCAAAGGAACAAATAAGCCAATAAGAAAAAAGGCAAATAATATGAAGACGTTTTGCTCAATTGAGGAAAACCATCAAGGAAATTCAAAATAAAGTGACAGTGAACTACCACCCATAAGATCGAAAAAACTTTAAAACAACAATCAAGACTGCTGTCAGCAAGAAAGAAAAGGGTCATCTCATGAACCGCAGCTAGAAAGGTTTAGAAAGAAATCTGACCACAATTTGTAAAAATAAAAACATGCGTTTTGACCCAGCAACCCAACTCCTTGAAATCTATGCCAAAGAAATAAAGATATAAGGAAAACAAAATAACTTAATCAAATAAAAATAAGAGGGAGGAGGCTCCGGATGTCTACTGCTTCATTATCCATAGCAGTGACATTTGGAAACAAAGCCAGGCCTCCTCTGTAGGCAATTGTTTACCCGCATCAGCAATAGAATGCAGGCTTTTAGAAGAATTATTAGAACTGCAAGTTGGAAAGGTTTCAACAGCGTAGTCCCAAGAGAAAAAATAAAGACACAGAACATTATGTAGGATTCAGTTTGTAAAACTGAATGTGTGTGTGTGTGAATACATTTGTATATTTTATTTGTGAATGTTTCTATGAGGGTAGAGAAAAACAGAGTGGTTCTTGATCACTAACATAAGTTCTCCAAAGGGAAGGAGAAAAGGATGTGGTAGAGAAAAAAAGAGGGGGGAAAAAAAACAGCTGACAAAGAACCAGGAAAATGCCAGCTTGGCAAAGGTAAAAACTTACAAGGCAGTGAGTGGTTTTCAAGCCACTGTTACGGGGAGGGTTTGAGGATGGTAGACAGGCAGATAAAAGAAATTCAATTAATGTTCTTCCAGAGGAACCAGATATTTAAAAAATAACCAAATTTCAAATGTGTGAAATCATACTTTCTGACCATTTTCAAAGTCACTGACATAAACCCAGGAACTGCCTTCTCTGGGGAGCAGACAGACTCCAGCCCTGGGTCTAGACGCAAACACAGCTGGGGGATCTCGAGGCGGGTGAGGTGCTTCTTAAGTGTGGAACAGGAGCTGGCTGCCAAGAAGGAATCAGCTAAAGGAGCTGGTAAAGCAAAAGGGGAAGAGAATGGAGAACAACCAGAGTCCTGAGAAGCACGAGGGGTAAGTGGGGAAGCAGGAAACAGAAGAAACATGAAGCCAATGGCCCTGGATCTCCAAATCTGCTCGGTCCACAGTGCAAGAGAAAGAAAACTCCGCATCAAAAGCTTGTCTTAAAAAAAACACAAAAATGACAAGCAGCACCCACTTGTCCTGATCTCTGGCCACACCTCAGAGTCAGAGCATGTGTACCTCATGCCCCACTTGCAGCCAGCCACTCAGGCGTACAGAATCAGCCTGAGGCGTCTCTATCCTCCACTCTCTTCTCTGGCTACCACCACCTCCATGCAGCCCTCCTGGCTGCTATGCAGAGCCACTTCCTCAGAGGTCCCTGATGCCTCCTCTCTCCATCCATCAACCTGGCATCCAGACCGAAGCTCCTCCTGAAATGGGACTCTGACTCCACCATTATCTTTCTTATTTACTTTCCTACACTTCACTAAGAAGAAAGAGGCACCCACCTGGAGCACTGGGCTCTGGAAGACAAGGTGACTGGTGGTAGCTGCAGGGGCAAGGAGACCAGAGTGGACTGGAGAACAATCCAGAAGCTGAAGTCAGGGTGAGGGAGAGAGTGTCTCAGCCACCTCTTCAGACCTGACCAGTTTCTTTTCATTAGCTCACTGCCTTTCCTCTTGAGGTTAAACGTCCCCACAGGGTAAGACGATGATGTGGTTTTCCTACATGAAAGTGCCGCCACCTTTGGCCAAACACATTTCAAAGCTAAGACGAAGACTGATACTGAGAAGGAACCCCCTAAGGGAATGAAATGCATTTTTTTTTATTTGATAGAAGTCTTTATTTCTTCCACCAATGCAGTTTTTAGTCCCCACCCCCACCTCCCCCCTAACTTCTAAAGTGCCAACCGTAGCGAGATGGGGAACTCTCCCGTTCAAACTTACTGCAGTTTTGTCTCCAGCAAGTTCAGTTTTTGTTGGACAACACAGCGAGAAAAGAGGGAGGGACACTAGGTGAAAAGCGTTTTTAAAACCCAGCTTCGAAATCAATGCAATGGTGATATAACAGAGAAAGAACAGACTTTGGTGCCTGAGAAACCAGGATCCAACTCCCAGCTCCGCCTTTCTGAGCCACCTACTGAGGCTGGGTCAGTTCACCTCCCTGCGTGCCCTGAAGACTGGAAGCAGGTGCGAACAGAGAGGGCAGGAGCCATGAGAAGCGCAGGCACCATCGCCAACGGTAAGCAGCAAGCTTCTCCCAGCCATAAACAGCGTGCTCACAGAAGGAGTTAGCTTCTTCAATAAATTCTACTATAAAGTAGAACATGCCACCTACTAAAAGTTACAGTAGGAAAGTGTATTGTATGAGAGCGTGTTAATCTCATTTTTAGAGATGGATTCTCTGTCAGGAAATGAATGGAACAGTGATGGGGAAAATGAGAAATAAGTCCAGACGTCATGCACACTTGCTCTCTCTCTCTCACACACACACACACACACACACACACACACACACACACACACACACGCCAGCTCAGTAGATCCAGGATGAGAAGCAGATTTGCACTATGAATTAATAAGCCTCCCTTGGGCCGCCCCTGGTAGGGCAGGTGGTTTGCGCCGCGCTGTGAGGCTGTCCACAGCCTATGTAGCACTGGTTCGATCCCAGCCAGCTGGCGAGGATCCCACATGGCGGAGCAGACCTCTCCTGTCTCGCCCACTGCTCCCCTCAGCAGTGTATTTCAGTCAGTCTGCCTGTTCTGTTCCCCACTCTGTCTCTGGTGAATCCTCTCACCCTCCTGCGCATCTGGCCTGTACTCCGGTTCTTGTGTAAATGAATAAATAAATCTTTAAAATAAATAAATAAATAAGCCTCCCAGGTGATTCCGAGGCAGGTGTACCTTCGAAATGACTCACCTGTGCTGACCAATGCCAAACCCATGGTAGGCCCTCAGGAAGAACTGGAGCAACCACTCATTCTACTGACCTAACACTGCAAATGCACACTGAGAACCTACTGTGTGACAGGCACGTGATAGTGCAGAACACAGAGAAGCAAACAGCTGGAGCAGCAGCCCCTCTGCCCTCGCAGCTCACTAGCCTCGTGCTGGCATGGCCACGCCAACGCCTGACTGTCACAGGGAGCACCGCCCACACTCCTGGGACGACAAATCTTTACTGAGCACCTTCCAGCTGCTTCTAGCCACCGTGACACATCGTGACCATGAGAGCAAGACCTCCCGGCCCACACAGAGCCGATGTCACAGAGATGGGGGACAGAGGTGAGCTAAAGTGGAGCGCACAGTGGACAGTCGATGAGCCAGTACTTACCATGTTACTGCCGAGAAAAAAGAAGGGGTAGAGTATAAAGGAAGGGGTGCAACAGTCCCAGTCCTGCACCTGCACTGCTCATGGCTGGTAAAGGGTCACAGAAGAACAAGAGCATGAAAGGGCAGAGAAGAGGAGGACCGGCTCTGATGGGGGGGCCCAGGAGGAAGCCGGTGCGGGGGTACACAGACAGTGTCCAGGGCAAGAAGACCGCCAAGCAAGTCAGTTCCCTTCCTTCCTGCCAGGAGAGTTCCTCCTGCCACCCCACAGCTGCAGAGATGAATCAGCTCTAAATGACCTCACGGCCATCTCCAGGATGTCTGAGTGCTGTCACCTTTACCAAAATGTTTCCAGCTCCTCCCAGCCAATGTTACAGAAGCTATGCAAAGCCTTTCCTGGGCCATAAAGGTTAATGGTAATATTTTTAAAGTCTAAAAGACCATATGATCACAGTAAAAAATATGAAGGATATCAGAAAGCTGCAAGAGTTTGGTGCAAGTTGCACCAAACCTCTTGGTGTGGTTTTTACCAGCTGTTGTTAGATGGAACTAGGGTCCCCCCGTGTCCATGTGATTTTATAGTTAAATGCTTCACCCTAGAGCTATCCCCCCATACCCATGTAATTTTTCTGTCTACTCTTTCTACTTCTTTTTTTGTTTTAAAGATTTATTTATTTATGCATACAAGAGCTGGGGTACAGAGGTGTGGGGTGGGGGTGAGAGGATTCATCAGAGACAGAGTGGGGAGCAGAACAGGCAGACTGACTGAAATACACTGCTGAGAGGAGCAGTGGCCGAGATAGGAGAAGTGTGCTGTGCCATGAGGGTAGCTCTCTGGCTGGGGATCAAACTCAGGCGGCTTCATATTGCTGCGTCTTAACCTCTTGCGCCACCAGGGAGGCCCTGCTCTTTCTACTTCTATTGCAAGTTCCAATTTTTATACTGCTGCCAAAGCATTTTTTGGCTTAAAACAAATTCCGTAGGGACATCATTTTTAAAGGTGATGTGCCACTGATGCACACCTTTTAGTCGCCATTCCCCAAGGGTTGGGCATTTTACATTACTGAGTTTTCACTATTATAAATCACCCTGAACAGTTCTGTTATACAGAAGGCATTTCCAGCATTTCCTCAGAACAGAATCCCAGAAGGAGAATTAGGGGAAACTAGAAACACGTCAGACACACTCCAGGGTGGAGGGGCCAAGGGTCACCCATAATCCCTGTGAGAGGCAGAAGCAGAGCTGTTCATCACTCACCACCCGTCTGTCGTGGCAGTGAGCCGTCTGAGAAGTGACGTATTTACCTGCTGTCGGAATCTGAGGCGATCTCCTTTCTCCCTCCAAAGCGGATCTGGCACTGCACGCAAAGAGAAGCTGCAGAGATCAGCTGGGGGTGGGATCCCCTCCCCCCACCACTCAACAGCCCATCAGGCCTGCAGGCTCAAAGGGGACACAGCTCTCCACATGCGGGGGAGAGGGGGGGCAGCCCAAGACCAAAGGGATGGACACCCAGCCTCCCAGCCACCACTGAAAGGAAGCCCTTATCTCCTCTGTAGAAAAGTGAGCCTTGTGGGTAAACAATGCTAAGAGGAAAACAGAAAGCACACCGCCTTCTGCAAATTATCTAGAAGCGCCTTCTGCCAGCAGCCGAGTGTCACTAACACTGCTCTTAAGAAGCAATAATTACATTCTTCCACAAATCTGTGATGATGGGCCCCTCTAACGGAGCCCCAAAGTTGCCAGGACAGGCTACACATTAAGTCAGCATAAATCAAGCCTCAAACAAGTGCTCTGGTTGTGTCGCACGACCAGTGGGGGCACAGGGAGGAGGGGCTGCCATTCAGATAACAAAACATTTAGCATTTTAACCACTTTTAATTGGACGTGCAATTCACAATATTGTACGCCCAATAGCACCGTCCATTGCTCTGTTAAAGGCGGAGGATCTCCACTGTGGGCCTCAGGCTTGTAAGCTTGCTGCATTTATTGTATTAAAACAGACAGAAGCTATGTAGTGTTCTAAATGACACATTTGTCAAAACTCGGGGCACTGCACTCTCAAAATTGCTGTATTTATTACACTCAAATTACACCTCAATAAAGTTGGTCTTTGTAAAGGTACATATACAGCTTTTACATGCACACACCCATAATAACAACAAAACACAGTAGCAGGCGTGGGCATAACCCTCCAATTATTTCTATTTAACTGCTACATTTAAAGTGCTTTGACCTGCTTCCTCATCTTACATTTTCCATTTCTGGAGCAAAGACAGAAGAAACGAATAGTGTGGATTCCATATTTACTATGCACCAGGGGCGTGTCAGGCCCCTCACCTGCTTTAACAAACAAGTTCCGTCCACTGTGGAGATGAGTGAGCAGATTACAGAGAAGAGGGGCCTGGACGAGGCAGGCGAGGTGCCCCGGCTCACACAGGGTGCAGAGATGAGGCCAGGGTGCCTCGGGGCTTGGGCAACTGCTAAACTCTTTGGGCTCACGTCAGCACGCAGCACCCACTTGTATTAAGCATCTCCCCGTACTGTGACAACATGCATGCTGTGGTCAGGCCCCTTCTAACTATGCGCACCGAGAATTCCCAGGCAGTCCTGGCTCTGCCACTTCCTAGCCAGACCACTGGATCTTCTGAGCTTTGGTTTCTTCATCTGTAAACTGGAAATCACTGCGGGAACTGCCTGGCAGGGCGGGAAGGGTTCCTGGAGAGCACTCTGTGGGGAGCCCAGCACGCCACGCAACCAGTGTGGCTCACAGCAGCACCTATCCTCAGGCGCAGGACAGGACGCTACCTAATGCAGCCTCGCGTCAAAGCCCCTTCCACGCCCCGCCAGAGGCGGCATCAAAACCAACCTCCAAAATGAGCACAGGGCCCTCGTGGAAGATCCGGACCTCCGCAGCCAGCAGATGCCCCAGCCGTGCCCAGCCCCATCCCTCTGCCTCTGCTCTTGTGCTCACGGGGTCCCAGCTCCAACCTACCACCTCAGCCACTGTAAGAGGTTCCCCGGTACATGGTGGTTTGGAAACGAGACTTTGAAACCCTGAAGGATGGGGCCCTCCTTTCCCTAGCTCTGCCGCCTCCCTGCTCTATCCCTGGCCAGGGGAACTGCAAGCCTCACTGTTCCCAGATACCAGTGGGCATGAGAGTGTCTGGGGGGCAGAACCACTGCCCTGTCACTGGCCTCAAAGGCACATGGGAGCCCTGCTCTTACCTGTTTCACTGCATCCAGCAGTCGCTCCAGCAGGCATTGTCTTTTCATGTCATTGTTCTGTGATCCTAAAATGCAATGAAGCTCAATTAGTTCTCCCTGGCACGAGCCTTCTGTCAGGACTTCTGGCGTGTGGCATCGCACATCTCACCCGGCACTGAGCGTCCTTAATGAATCAGTAACAACACTGGGTGCCAAGAACCTACTTCACTACAATGAACCTTGACCACTGGCCTGACCCTGACTCCCAGGAAATCAGCTCAGCGTCCCCCTAATATGAAGAATGTGTCCATAATGGCCCGCTCCAGCCTTCTCAAGCTCAGCACAATCAACATCCTCTGCAGTGGGGGCTCCCTGTGCAACGCAGGATACTTACCAGTCCCCCGGGCCCCAACCCACTCGATGCCAGTAGCACACAGATATAAGCCGTGGCGTGCCTCCAGACACTGCCCCATGTCCTCTGGGTCAAAGCTGCCCCTGGGGGGCTAACCTGGCAGGGAGGCTTCCCAGGCAGCGGGCGTTGCTCGCTGCTCGCCACCAGGTCTAGCATCCTTCTCCAGGCCACCTGGAGGCAGGGAAACCCAGTTCCGGCTTTTCTCAGCTGCCTTTATAAGGCCGTCCCTAACAAGTCCTACTGAGACTTAAGGCAGGCGTGCCCCCGGAGGGTGCTGGGGAAATACTGCCCACCTGGTAAAGGGCAGGAGGTGGTGTCTTAAGTCGTCTGTCCATCCTTCCTGCCTCCACCACAAACACAGAGTGGAGCCCGAGTGGCACTGTGTGACCAAGAGCGGCAAGCCAGAAGGGCAGGCCCCAGGACAGACACCGGGCCTGAGGGCCGTCTGCTGAACCAGCACTAGAGAGCTCCGCCCTCCCCGCAGCAAGAGCCCCAACTGCTCAGTCCACTTGCGTGGGGCTTTTCCTGGTGACCGAAAGCATTCGCTGTGGACTCACAGGGCCCACAGCCCACGACGTCCATTTAGGGGCAAGATCACTTGAAGGTACCACCAGGCAGACAGTCGGTGGAAGGAAGTGCTGGGCACACACGAGTTGTCAGCAATCCCACCAACAGGGACAGGGACAGAACAGTCATTTCAGAGCAGAGGCACACTCGGTCACAACAGCAGGAGCCCCACACTGTAGGCCTTGTGTCACAACAGGCCATGTCTAGTTCTCAGGCACCTCACAAGGGCTGCCCCAGGAAGCACCTGCAGGGCGTAGCCTCAGAGACCCACCTGCCCGAGTCCTGTCCAGGGCCAGAGGTAAGTAACCACCGCACTGCCTGCCAGCCAGCACCGGACTGCTCTGCCTGCATCCCCGGCGGCCTTAACTTCCACCACCACCTACAAGCCACATAGTAGGTCCCCATACCAGGCAGGGGAAGCTGAAACTCAGAGTGGATAAGCAGTCGTGTACACCGAGCCCTCCACAGACAGGACTCTGCATGCCAGGCCAAGAGCAAAGTGCTGGACAGTTAAATGCACAAAGTCGCCTTCTCCGGGAGGGCGAAACAAACAGTGCATCTGCTGCAAATGAGCGGACTGGGAGAGTCTGACTAGGAAGAAAACCAAATGGTGTGACGAGGCAGGGAGGAAGTCAGGAGGCCAGGCCGCCGGGCTGCAGGGAAGGCCCCTGTGCCAGGCCACACCTGAGCTCAGCCCTTTTAAGAGGAAAGGAGCAGCCACGAGATCCGGGAGGTCAGCTAGGACGAGGGCGTGGCCGATGCAGGAGCACACACAGCTCTGGACCCTCCCGGGACTTGAGGGAAGGAGAGCAGACGGGCAGGCGGGGTCACATGGGGCTGCAGGGACCATGAGGAGGGGTCAGGCTCTGGGTCCCACTTGGTGGGACCCAGACCCTGACTCAAGCTCCTGCCTCAAACTCCTGCCTCTCAAAAAGCCCGTGTTAGGAACACCACCAAGGCCCAGGCCTGGAGATACAACCAGGCCATGGACACACAGGAATACGACTGTCTTCCCAAGGGTTGCCGCTGCTTTTTCTGAAAGAGGTTTCCAGAAACGACAGCCTGCACATCATTCCCACCAGACAAGAGGCCAAGTTGAAGCAAAGAGGATGGCTGAGGGCCCGCCTGCCCGAGGCCCTCACCCAGCTCCCCTGGCACCTGCATCTCCCGTGACCCCGCTATAGGGATCAGGTTCTGCTCTTCTCTCTGACCCAGGACAGAGAAGTCAGGCTGCTTTCTTCCCTTTTCCAAGGACTGCACCCACCCGCCAACTCCACAGCCCTCGGGAAACACCAACAGGAAAGTTGACAGGTTTTTCACCCTCGAAATGCCTTTGCTGTTTTTCTGATCATAAAAGTATTTCACGTGAAAAAATAAAAAAATCAGGAAAAAATGTACACAGAAAATTTGAAATTTCCATCAGCTCACTGCTGCTCATCTGTGCAATAATTCTCAAGCTTCCCAGTACATGCGAGTCTCCTGGGGTCTTGTTAAAAGGCAGGTCCTGATTCAGCAGGTCTGGGGGGAACCTGCAAGCTGTCTTTGTCACAAGTGCCCAGGTGATGCTGAGGCTGCTGGCTCCTGCACCGACATGAATGGTAAGGACTGGCACCTACCCTTCCTGTTATGCGCAGGGCCTGGAAACCGTCTGCTTCATCTCACTCCACTGCTTTTTCTAGGTGCAATGCCTCACCTTGCAAAGCCCCTCCTCAGGGTGGGGAAAAGGTCTATTCTCTATATAGAAACATCCTGAGGTTGTGCAGGTCTCAGCCCACCGCAAAAGAGGTTCCGATCACTCTGCAGTGACAAGTGTGCTGGAGACCGCTCAACCTCAGGGTGGGCACCTGTGGGCACCCCAGCCCCGAGCCAGGACTTAGGGAATGGGTCTCACTTGCAGGATGGAGGAGCTCGGGTGGCCTTGGGCGCGCTTGTGAACTATGGCACAGAGGGGGCACTGGAGGGGGCCCAGAGCAGGAAGTCACAAGGAAGAGCTGGTCTCCTGGCCAGGCTGCAGGAGCCTGGTCTCCGCACGAGATCCCACCCCCACGTCTGCAGTGGAGGGAGAGGGGCTCTGTGGAGACAGGCGGGGGAGCCTTCAACCTACCATCTTTCTACCTTCTCCCAGTGACAAAGACTAGGAATCCTCCGGTCTCAAGACAGCAGCCACCAAGGGGGCAGAGAGCCACTGGCCACCTGCTAAGCCTCCCCTGTGGGGTGAATTTTAGCCTCAACAAAGGGCACGGGCTCCATCCTCCAGGGCTCTGAGGCTTAGGAAGGAAGAGACCTTCACCCAGGCTGGTCCCCTGGCAGAGCTGGCTCTTGGCTCTGCCATCTGCTGACTCTGCTCACTCACAACCCTTAAGAAACCCACAGGGGCGATAGCCCCACCGCTGTGCAGGAAGGATTGCTGGGTGACACCCCGGCCTTCCCGCTTCCTTCCTTTTCCAGCGGCAGCCCTCGGTCAACACCATCAACCAGAGGAGCAAACTAGACTTCTTTAAACTTTCTTGAGAGGCCACCATCAAAACAGAAACTGTAGGGCCTCCCTGGTGGTGCAAGGGGTTATTCACTGCACGATGAAGCAATCCCCAGCCTCTGCAGCACAAGTTCGATCCCCCGGCCGACCAGGGAGCAACCCACATGGCGAAGCAGACCTCTCCTGTCTCCCCACTGCTCCCCTCAGTCAATCCGCCTGTTCTGTTCCCCACTCTGTCTCTGGTGAATCCTCTCACCTCCTGCATCTCTGGCCTGTACCCCAGTTCTTATATGCATAAATAAATAAATCTTTAAAAAAAAAAACAAAACCTAAAACAGAAACTGTAAAGGCACCACAGGGAATACTCCCAGGGGCACACCCCTAAGACGAGAAGTGTGCCAGTGCCGGGCCCCTGGCCCAGAAACCATATGTGCAAGTGCAGATCAGTTACCTGGTCCCGGGTGCTCATATCTTTGTCTTTGACATTCAAAACCCTTAGGACCCTACATTCATTCCTGCAAATCTCAGCCTTCAGGAGCCTCATGGACAGGCAGAGTAGAGGTGAAGAATGGACAGTCTGCAGGTGAAGAGGCAGGACCTGGACACCCAGAAAACAGTACTGTGGCATTAAAAGGAAAAGAACGGGCTAGCCTGGCTTGACTCCACTAGCCCAGGTATGTGACCACGGGCAAGTTCCCTCCCCTTGCTGCCCCCAGCAGGGCCAATAAAGTAGCAAGTGTGTATCTGCCCACAGAACAGAGCCTAGTAGCTACCAAGACTTTATACATTAGCCATAGTTATTGTGGTTGGCCACCCTCTACCCCAGAGACATCAAGACCTCTGGCTCCAAGAGGGATTTCCACCAGACTACCTTCTGTCCAGAGCAATTCAAAGCAATCCAATGCAGTCTCTGGGTTCTCTGCTCTTGGGGGTAAAAGCAATGGTCCCTTGGCATGTGAGGAGGGGAAATCAGCAGGATGCAGCAGGCTCTCTGTGTATGTTCCCTCTTTGATACTTGCAGCAAGTGACGCTGGAGTTCAACCCAGAGGAGGGTCGGTCACTCGATCAAGGTATGCCCCCACCTCTCCACACAGAACAGAGGCCAGGCCAGGTCTCTGTGTGAGGCTGGTCTTTGCAGTGCAGCAAGAAGACAGAAGAGAGGTTCTCTGGGTGCCCCCACTATTGCCAGGAATCCTGCCAGCAGTCAGGCAGCAGAGTAAGCACTGAAGGGGGGGGTCTCCTTGACTCAAACTAGGACCCCCACATGGCCATTCTGCTGGAGACTAGGACCTACTGAAAAGGTAGGAACTTGGGCTGTGTTTTTAAAAACCAGGAAGGACTAGAACAGGTAAATCCACACAGATAGAACATAACTGCTTCATGGGCACAGGGATTCCTTTTGAGGTGAAGAAAATGTTTTGGAACTAGATAAGGTGGTGGCTGCAGATGTCAAGGAATGTACTAAACACCACTGAATTGTTCACTTTAAAATGGTTAATTGCTTTTACAACTGCTAAATATGTCATGTAATGATTGCTCATTGCTTTGATCATTATCAAAAACATAAATGCTTTTATATTGTTTGAATTTCGCCTCACGAAAAAAAAGTTTCATGGGAAAGACTGCAAGAG